CAATTGGATCAATTGAGATCCATTGAAGCCAGGAGACTGGAACCAAGTTCAAGACGTGGCAGCTGCAGACAGATGGGCGGAAGGGTCTGTGCACTTCCCTTGGGCAGTCTGCCTTTGGCGCCGCCTTGGTACCGCCTCGGCACCGCTCGGGCCCTCAATTGCAATGCGCGGTGCCGACACCCCGTTGCGTTTTGCAAAGTTTTAATTGGATCGGACTGAGGAACTTCCAAGAAAACACAACCAACGGAAGCCACGAAACGCAACCTTTCCTTGTAGTCCCGGCACGGGGCGCTCCACACTTGCGCCAAGGCATTCCAAGTGTACTTCGCGCTCAACCATTCTTTTTGGTTGGTTGGTTGCTTGTCGCTTGTCCGTAGCTTTGGCTCAAGACATATCGGCTCAAAGCTCTCAGTAATAATCTGTTGAGCTAGGAGGTTCAAAGACTGCTTCTTAAAGAGAAGAAGTTGTCTCCGGGCCGGTACGCGTAGTTAGGTTAGTTGCACTTGGAACCTGTGCATCTGCTTGTTGTTATTTATTTGCATGGTGCAGTGTCCTTAGACATTGTACAACTTCAAGTGGTGTCCTTAGACACCATTTGATCGCAACTTTTTGTCCGCCACCCCTTGCAAGCACTCTCAAAGGGTGTCCTTAGACACCTTTTGAGCTTCGTTATTAGGCTCTGTCTTCTCCTTGAGTCTTTTGAAGCGAAGGGAATTCTTGCACAGCTTGCCATTTTCGTGCTTTAGGTCAGCTTTATTGTAAGTTTTGCCTTCGACACGTACGCTTGCTTGACTGGAGTTGTGTCCTTAATCCAAGCTAGACCTTCGGTGTGGTGTCCTTAGACATTGCACTGTGAGGCCTTTTCGTTAGGTATCCAAGTTGTCTCTCTCGAGTGGTGTCCTTAGATACTGTTTGAGAATAGGTGACTCTATTGATACCCCGTCTTTAGGTCCGCATTTTTTGTTTTCGAAGACAGTGAACCTAATGCTGAGTAAAGATACTGCAGATCTGTGAGAAACTTCGAATCTTTTCCATAATTAGGCTCAACAATGCTAAGAAGAGCCTGACTCGGGCGGTAGGGCGATCTGATGTACAAGGAAGTCATATTTTCAGACCGGATAGCCTAGATAGCTGTAGGGTGGCGCCTGCCTGCTCATAACACCCACCTTTGGAGGACAGAAGTTTGCTTGGCCCTTCCGCACAACCTTCATGCCAGATACGCCAAGGGGGCTCATCCCCTCTGCCCTTTTTTGTCTTGATAAGATGTCTTAACAAAATCTTGGCATGCGAGTGTTGAGTAAAGCAGTGGGCTTGAAGCCCTGCGCGTCAAGCTCCTCTATGCCAAGGCCCCTTGGGGCCATTCATTCGCCGCCAGTGGGCTCCAAGCCCTTCACGTCAAGATCCCTGATGTCAAGGCCCTTGAGGCCATTCATCCGCCACCAGTGGGTCACAGCCCCTATAACGTCAAGGTCTCTTGTGTCAAGGCCCATGAGGCCTTTCATTCGATGCGGCCTTTCTTTCGCCAGTGGGCTCAAAGCCCTTCACGTCAAGGCCCTTGAGGCCATTCGCCAGTGGGCTTAAAGCCCTTTACGTGCCAAGGCCCTTGAGGCCATTCATTCGCCACCAGTGGGCTCAAAGTCCTTCACGTCAAGTACCCTCATGCCAAGACCCTTGAGGCCATTCATTCGCCACCAGCGGGCTCAAAGCCCTTCACGTCTAAATCCCTCATGTCAAGGCCCTTGAGGCCATTCTTTCGCCACCAGTGGGCTTAAAGCCCTTCACGTCAAGAACCTTC